GGTGAAATTTATCCTCTAGAAACTGATAAGCAAGATTATCACCTGTGTTAATTCAGAAAGGTTCTTCTCATGTGTAAAGGCTTCATTAGCTGCGTATACTCTTGTATTTAAAACATGCCATGTCCTGTCTTTCAGCTATCACTTACACTCTTAATGCTCTAAGATTTATTCTTAGTGAAGGAAGCAGAAAAGCAACTCTTAATCCAGGTGCAGCTTATTTCTCTTATTTCTTCATAATGAATGACAAAGTTCAGCAAAAATTCCAAGCAGAAGCAACAAGTTCCTGAATGACTCTACACATTTGCAATGTGTCTGCCACAAAGGAAAGAAAGAAAAAAGAAAAAAAAAAAAAAAAAAAGCAGGGGGGGAAGGGGAGGGGAGGGGAAGGGAAGGGAAGGGAAGGGAAGGGAAGGGAAGGGAAGGGAAGGGGAGTCTCAGTTCTGTTGCAGCAACTTTACTCTTCTGTTAATTCCTTCAGGGATCCTCCAGAAATATATAAACAAACAAATAAATAAGTGATAAAAGAATATTTTGAATCTGTCCTGAAATAAAATCCTTTGTAGCACACTAAGGGGGAAATAGCACCTTAGTCATGTAGAGAGCAAGCTCAATAACCCACCAGCCTGGTGAGTTATTCTACAACAGCAGAAACAGTTGCTTTCAGGCAGTCTGTCCCCTTCTATCTCATTGTTTAAATATAGAATTAAAATTTGTACAAACGTCAGGATTTTTTTTTCCTGCCCTCTAGTGGGAAGAGAGTGGGGATAAAAAACAGACAAAGAATGTTAACTGAAAACCAAAAGACACTGACCAGTGTAGTCTGGTTTTTCATTTCATATCATCTGATTTAAGCTGAAGCTAGAGGGAGCATCCATTTAAGCAGCGGTAATGAAAAGAGATTGATTGAAAAGTCATTTTTGCTCCATTTCTTATGGATAAGAGTCCCAGGTGCCTGTTTTCCTTACATTTTCTTTTTAATGGCTGCTCCCTGTTCAGCCCATAATCTTCAAGGTCAGCTTCAGGTCAAACTGCATTTAGTACAAGATGCTCTGCATCTGCAAGCCCAGCTGTGGGATTCCTCTGCCATCTCTATAGCACTGGGTTTTCCATTCTGGGCTCCCAGCTCAGCAAACTTTATTTAGAGTAAATGCTTATAGGACCATATTTTATTTCTACATTTAAGTGGCATTATGAACATCACACTGGCAAACATATTACAAAGACAGCAGTTCCCATTCTAACACGAGATGCTGAGCCTATGAGGACCAGTCCATGCCTAACTACATCTAGAGTTGCTACAGCCGCAGGTGCTAGACTTGCAAAAGCCAAGGCATACAGAACAAATCTCAACATGCTAGCCAACAAATCTCCTACAACACTCCACGTGCATTTGCGGCCTCCCACAAAGAAAATCTAGCAGGCAAAGGAAGGAAAATAAGACTAAGAACACTGGGAAAAAAAAAATACTCTTATTGCCAGATCTTAAATGAAATTAGCCTTTGGAAAGCTGTCTAAACATCAGCTATTAGAGGGTAGGAACTCATAGACAGATTTTGCACACACGTGCATATTGCATGTGTATATAGACATTATTTGATCCCATCTGTAAGATAGAAGTATCTATCTACTTACTTAAGATGCTTGTCCTAGAAGTGCAATGTGAAACTAAGACAGTAAGTAGCATATATTTTTTACATAAAATATTTTCTGAAACAAAAATACTTTTTTTTTTTTTTTTTTTTTTTTTTTCCCTTTGGAGAAAGAGGGGAACAGTTTTTTCACTTTTTAAGACAGGTACAAAAAAAAAAAAAAAGATTCAAAATCATAATTAAAACCTCTCAGAAATCTGAACAGCCCACAAGAGATTAATTCAAGTTGTAAAATGAATTCACTTTTATTTTTTTAAATGATAAAAACTCCCCAGTAGCAGCAGTGACTCTAGTCTGTTAGAAAACATTCATAAGAGTAAACTGAAAACAGAACCCTTTACATCCTAGACCCTATTCCTACTTTCTCATCCCCAAACATGACAAGCATCAATGCTCACGATGAGTGTCACAGCCTGAGGAGGAGAGCACTGCCCAACCTTTGGATGTAACGGGTACTCATGCGATGCATTCTCTGTTGACTAACTCTCCATCTCTGACCTCGAACTTCACAACAAGCAGTTAAGAACTATCAGAAAAATGTCCTAAAAAGGCTGACCTGAAGCATTGTAATAACTCTTAAAAGACCAAAACAGAAACAAAAGTTTGTAATCCATCTTTCTGTGAAGAGGCCCTTTGGGGTTTTGTCTGCCTTTTAATGAAGAGAGCTACAGCTCAGCAGCCGCACCATGTGTGAAATATTATGGCACTTGTTTTTAACTGCTGGACGAGGTGTTTAATGATTCTAAGGAAGTCTGGCTACTGCTGCTAGCATTCCACAGCAGAAAGGAGAATAGCACTTGCATCTGAGTTTACAATGTTCTCACATGTACATGAATGAGGAGCGTTTTCATCAAAATCCCAGTTTACGGTGGATTCCTCATTATGGAGTACGAAGAGGGATGACCCGAACAATACAGCTCGGAATGGAAAGAGGTATTTATGGTCTTTTCCCACAGGTACACAAATATTCTTGTTTAGGTTTTCCACATCTGGATAAGGTGGAAGACAAAAGATCCACAGTCAGGACCAAGTACATACTGATGCATCAAGGTTATTTAACTTTCTTCTCAGGGCATCTTGCCTAACCAGATAGTGGAAGCTGTAAGAGTATAGTGGTGTCAGGCCCTAGGAAATTGGTGCAGGTGCTACACTAGAGAGCAGGAAGAGATGCAGCTAGCCCAAAGACAGGTAAGGAGTTAGTTACGAGCTTAGTGCCTTAAAAAAGATGACAGACCCAGAACTGAATAAAATATTCAGAACAAAACAGAAGAATGAAAAATGAAAGCTTGTAACTTATCATTGATTCCTCTGTTGGCTGATTATCCAGGCCCAGGCAGTCAAAATACTGCTCTTCCATATATAAGATGCTGCTTGCACCTGGGGAATCTTTGGGATTAGCTTCCATATCTTAATACTTCAGGTGGTGAGTATAATCAAGCATTCGAGAAGAAATCTCTCTACCGAGGAAAAAAATCCTGACATGTTCCATACACACTGACTGGGCTTGCATTTGGATATTAAATCTGCAGTATCTAACTCTGCCAAAATTCCTCCCAGGACTCCAGAAATAAAATTCCTTATTATGCCTTCACTTGACTGCCCAAGGGATCCTTTTCATCCCTTCTTTTGACCCTACCACGCAAAAGTTTTCAAAGATGGAGCAAGCACCCAATTTCACATCTGGCAATGCTAGAAACTACGCAGCAACAGCCTTGAAATGTTTGCCATTTCTACTTGTCTTGACACTAATTATACACACAAGGCAGTTTCATCTGCACTGGGCAGAATGGCTCGATGCACAGTGGAGTTCAGTGCCTTCAGATCTGTGCATTTCCAAGTGAGTGAAGCGTGCATTATAACTGCAGTCACAGCAAGTTTCTAATGTGCTCCTCCAAGACTGACCCCTCCTCTCTTCTTACATTCCCCCTCTCTTTTTGTTTTAATTTTCCTGTAAAATGCAAAGTTTTTCTCAGACAATCAGAGCATGACTTCCATCCAGTTGTTTCATCAGGCTAAATTTGCCACCCGCTTCTTCACATCCTTTTTTCCCCCTCTTTTTGTATAAACTCTCCATTATCAAAATAATATCACTTACAAAACACCACCTCAGCAGCATGCCTCAGCCCTCATTTCACAGGGCTCTGCCAGCAGCCATGAACAGAATCAAAGCATCCAATTAAAAATCCATATTCATTAACAAAACACCATGTGTACTATAATGCTCTACATTGACTATGCTACCATAGGAGATGGAAAACTGACTTTCCCTGCACTCACTATGGAGGTCTGATCTCTAAAAGGAAGTGTTTTACCTTTCTCTGAGAAGAGGCTTGGTACTGCCTTAGCCCATTGGGCTAGGACAGTAAAAGTGACAGCTGTTGACCTTCTGCCTCAGAGAAATGCCAGATATGGGACTTGGCCAATATGAGAAACATACAGAGAAGACCATGAAGCCATGCCAGACTTTCCCTACTGAGGTCTTTAGGTACCAACAGGACCAGTTGCAAACCAATCTGCAGCATTACGAGCAGCCAATGTAATAAGCTCTGCGTAAGCTTGATTGATGCAACTCATTGGTTAGGCAGGGCCATATCCGAGCTGATGTAGTAAATTAACACATTCCCTTGGTTTCAGGGAAGTTGCATTGATTTATACCACCAACAATTTACCACCGTGAAAAGTCACATACCATAAGTACAATATTTCAGCCTATACAATGAAGCTATACGAACACATGCCAGGATTATTTATTTATTTGTACCCACAAGCCTGGGATTTACAGCTCTTTATAAATATGAGCTGGGTAATTTGCTTTCTATTTTTAGCAGGAATGCTTTGTGCAGGGAACAGCTGTCAGCCACTGGGAGCTGTGCTTCTCAGAGCAGCAGCTTCAGACAAATAGAGGCCTCTTAGAATTACACTGGAGAACTAGAGCCACTGCTTCACAGCAGAAAAGATGCTGAAGATAGTAGATAGTGAGAAAAATGATCACTCAACTGAGAACCACTCCCGGAATTTTTCCATCATTTTTTCCCTACAGGAAGGAGCCTTATGCCATCATATTACATGTATGGATCTTGAACTGTCAAAAAATCCTGAATAATCTCAGAGCCCACTGTTCAGTTTTGACCAAATTCAGCAAACATCCACAAATCTCAGGATTGATATATTCTCACTGATCTCTGGGTAGAGGTGACAGACTCCCTACTATCTCCATTATGGGAAAAAACATCACGTGAACTCAGCCTTCTATCAGACCAACAAAATTAGGCAAATCCAACAAGTGAATCTGTAGGAAACCCAATCTGGTATTCCCATTTCTTACAAAACCATGGTGTTGTAGGCACTCACCTTGGCACACGAAGGAAGAAGGCGTTTCCCCAGGATGGACTCGTGCAGTGATGAACACCACTTTCTGTTCAGCACCTGGGCGCAGGTTCGCTGCAGCAGAGTGGCAGGTGGCAGAAGGAAAAAGAGAGACAAAAGATCCTTAAACTGGGTTCCATATGTAAGACACAAAGGAACATTAATATTAAAGCATATCCTTTTATTAAAATTGGTCATACATTATAAATAAGCACAATCTATAATTAAAGTAGGCAGCGTCACTGGGTCTCCGTACCAGGCCACAGCAGCAGACTGCACAAGGGCTGCAAATCTAATGACACGCAGCCAAACCTGCAACAACAAAGTTAGCTCTCCTTTTATAAAACAAGATTTACTACAGGGAGTTTAACTGCACTGTAATTGCTCTCTCACTTGTGATAAATACCCCCTGGGGCAACAAGAACAGTGGGGGTCCATTCACATCGTAAAGCCAATTGAACCCTGCCTAACGCTTGATGCAAGCCTTAGCAGCACCAAAGCATGGTGAAGTGCTAACCAATTACATTCATTGCCACGGGCTTTGCTTTGAGGGATCTTTCCTCTTCTGTTTGGGTCCTCATCTGCTCTGATGAAAAGAGATACTAAGGAATATTGAAGTATGGAAAAGAGATCAGAAGTAAACTGGGGTGAGACAATAACTACATGAATTGCATTAAGGAAATGACTTGCCCTATTACATTAAATAGCAAGGACCTCTGAGGTGGACCATAAAAGGTGGCTAATTGAGCACTTAATTCCTACCATCTTTAAACCACACTGCTTTGGCCATTTGCTTAGTTGTAAACAGGTTGGGTCACACAGTGTGTTCCCTCTGTGCAGTGATAGCATTCAACAAACAGAAAATAAAAGTTATGCCTCTTCAAAGCGGTTTTGGGGATTTTAAGGACCATAAGAGGTCAGGACCTCCGTTAGTATCTTTCCTAGATCTGAACACACACAGCAGGGGAAGTACTGGACACAGCAGGATTCAATTTAAATCTCTGCTGTGAAATAGTTTTTACATTTATAGGCAACTGAAAACTAAATCCAAGCTTTTTTAAAAAATAAAATAATTAAATCAGGTATATGCGTTACATACATATCCAAACATAGAAAGATATTTGGGGACTGAGATCACCTCATGATTTTCTGGTTGGTTGTTTTTCTGTTTAAAAAAAAAAAAAAGTCCTGGTTCTTATAAATGTTCAGTTCTCTCATCTCAGTTTTTACAGCTTTCATATCTAACAAAATCACAGAAATAATCAATACATTTTGGTTGGTTTTGATTGTTCTCTGGAGGCAATGGGACAACAGATCTCCATGGGGCATTTATTTCCTCAGCCCTTCTAAATGTTCTACAGCAGCTTACCCCGCAACTTAACCAGTCATTCATTCTTTCATACTCCAACTTCACCACTCTGGCATTTCAGAGCCCCAGAGGCAAAGAAATATAAGAAAGAAATGTCTCTGACAAACATAGCAGATGTGGGGTCAATTCTGTCTGCAGAAAAGAAGTGGGAGGCAGTATAAAGGAATACAACACCATCAGCTAGAAGTTGATGACCACTCCGCATCATTTGCATTAACACTGAGTAGTGTGGGAGGAAGGAGATGCATCAGCAAACCAACTTTAACGAGCAGGAAAGGAAGCCTATGGTGACAAGTGGAGTTTTCCAGGGAAGATGAGGCATTTTAATTTTAGTCTTGGTTTCTCACTACCTGAGATTATTTCAAATGGAATTAAGTTAAACTAATTTCCTTCCCAGTCAAATTTATTTGCTTATGAGGGTAATAGGTAAGTGAGATCCCTATCTCTATCTCAACCCACAAACTTTTTCATCTCATTTTCTCCTGTCCCACACAGTGCAGCTGGGTGGGAGTGTGACAGCCAGCCAAGGCCAACCCAGTAAAACCAGCGATACAGCTACAAATCACTATCTCACATTTTAACATACAACTAAAAATCTTCTAGTTGAAGCATCTTTTCTACATCAGGATGGAAGAGACCAATGGAATTTATAATAAAAAAGGTCAGATGCGTACCTTTTCTCAGTAGATGCCAAAACCTAAACTACAGACCCACTTAGCCATGAATTATCCAACTTTACAAATGGAGAGAATGTATTTTGCTGTGGTACCTCATGCCCCAACAGCTACCATAGCAACAGATCTTTCAAAATACCAGATGTAAAAAATTTTCCAAGGAAAAAAACTTATCAATTTCTGGAATTATTTTCTACTCTTACTTCTAGCAGGTATGTTGAAGACTGAGCTAAACATCTTCCTTCCCATCTGAAGTCTACCACTGCAGTCACCATTAACTATATTTGCCTTGCCTGAAGAATTTGACTGAGACCTAAACAATTTGCCTCTTTATCTATTGGCAAAACAGATTCCACATTGCCTTCCTTTCTCAGGTGTTTTGAACTATGAGGTGGGCTGTTGCCAGCATTTTGTATTCAAAACCCCGTGAGCTGAAGACTCCACAGAGGAAATGAAAAGAACTCTATTGCATTACACTTCCCTGCGCTGTCTCGCCTTGTCTGTGTCCAACAGAGCTACAACATCTGCGTTGAAAGCAAACACTGATGTCATTGCTGTCCTGGCTGTCTAGTCTCCGCCACGTTAAACTGCTTTAGCAAATCAAATCCAGGCAGCCTTTACTGTACTCTGGCTTTTCCCAAGGGAACAGATTAGCACCTAATGCCATTTGTTCTTGTTACTTCTGGTCACAGATGTCATTTCAAGTAGGAGCGCACATCTCAGCAACCCATGTTGTAAAAGAATGTCACTTTAGGTCCCTACTAAATCTCACTGGACAAGGTGGAGTCAAATAAACAAGCTCTTCTTGCCGGCTTATAGCTGGATTGCAGGCCACTTCCCAGCATCCTCTTTCTTAAGACTCACATAGGCTGTGCAAAGAAACTAAGCAGGTAAAACAGATGCCTTTCATACCACAGAAATAAGCAAAGACTACATTACAGTTTCTAAAAGTCAGATGCCTATTCTGAGTCCCCTTGTCCTGGAAGGGGCATAGGCAGGATCTCAAGTGCCTTGCAGAAGAACCCACAGGAGGTCAGCTGTGTGCTGGGGAAGCACGTCTTCAAGATGCCCTTACTGCCTCTCTTCACCTTTCACCATGTTTAAGTAGTCCCATGTAGAGCACAGAGGAGTTTTGTTCAAAGCCCCCCTTGTGCTTGGATTCTTCCCAGCAATGGTCTTGCTTGGCATGCTCTAAACTGGATCCAATCCTCTCAAGTTCCAGATTTTCATTCAGGCTCTGGCCCTGACTCTGTCAGGTGCTTAAATACATGATTTAGTTTGACAGACTTCTATTGTGTTTAAAAATGGGCTTAAATGTAAGTGTTGGCAAAAGAGCTTTGCTGAACTGGGGCCTTTTAGCAGGAAGCCTGCTTCTGAGATCATTGTCACAATGTTTTAAAGTTGGAGATTGTGCAACTATTATCCTTTATTGCCCATTTTATACCAAAGTCTCTCTTCTTTCTCTTTTTACATCCCTCTTAAAAGCAAAGCTATTTTGGAGCATTTAATATTATTTAATCTCTCTACTCTGGCAGCATAGAAATTACAGGAACCATTACAATGGTCCTGTGTGCATGTATGCTTTATTGATGTATATGCTGACCTAATATCAAATTGATTTTGCTCAGCTTTTCTGCTGACCATAGAAAAATGCAAATTGGGTATTATATTTGCACACTAATTTTACTGGGCCCTTGTGTCTTCATAAAAAGATAAAGTTTGGGCTAATAAAAATAAAACATTTCTGGTGCTAATATAGGCAAATGTTTATGTAGGCAGGTAACAAATTGGTTTGTCATTTAGGGGAACATAAAGAGCACTAAAATCATCTTTAGGCAAAATAGATTGGGGGCTTTTGCTTAGCTTTTAGCTTTCATTTGCAAAATCAATTTAATGTAACACAGTGTCTCAAAGGCAGGGTGACACAGGATTAAGACATTCATTGTATTCCCCCTCCATAACTGCTCCTTATTCAGAGACCATGAGATTTAGGTTTGTTCCTGCTTAAAGCAAATTAAATATACTCCAACCAAAAGGGAGAAAGGAACGTTTAGGTTTGTGCTATATGCGAGCATCTTACAGGGACAAACAAAAGGGTGGAGTAGGAATGAGAGGCTCAGAATGTTTGGAAGGTAGTTGTTGAATGAGTTATCGACACATTTCAGTGCCACCCAGGAATCTGAAAGTGTAATACGTGAATGGTCTCCTTGCCTAGCTAGTTCTTTATTCCTCCTTCAAGTCCTTTGTAACAATGCCTTTCAGGCATCTTTAACGGCCAACAACTTCTGCTGAAATGCAGCTAAATGAACATCAATGACAGTTTAACTAGACAGGCATATATCAACAGACTAACTTCTATACTGAAATGAGTTGACCTATTAAGTTCTTTACTTTGAGAGTGGTGAGGTGCTGGAACAGGCTGCCCAGAGAGGTTATGGATGCCCTGTCCCTAGAGGTGTTCAAAGGCCAGGTTGAATGGGGCCCTGGGCAGCCTGGTCTAGCATTGAGTGTGGAGGTTGGTGGCCCTGCATGTGGCAGGGGGTTTGATATTCAAGATCCTTGAGGTCCCTTCCAACCCTGGCCATTCTGTGTGATTCTGTATTTAAATCCCAGAGCAGGTACTATTTCCATCCAGCTTTTGCTTTCCTGCCCCTTCCCTCCCTCAATTGCAAGGTATTTTGGAGGGGTTCCATGCAGCAGGAGGTTACATAAACAATTTTGATGTTAATACTTGACTGCATTTTCAACCTAATAGCCCAGGAAAGGGATCTGACTGTAAAGGAAAAGGCCAGAAGCGTCTCCTGGTAAAAATTGTGCTGAAGCACAGATCAAATGACACTGCAAAGCTATTTGCAAATCAGAAATGGCAAATGATTGTGGGGCAAGATTCTCCTTACCTCACAGACCCCCTTGTTTGTTTTTAATCTCCATTAAGTTTTGGAAGCAATCATTTTTCTATTTGGTCTGATACTTCCAGCTTGCCACCCTTCTGAGGAAAGAAAATTAACCACATGCAAAACCAGTCAAGGTAC